TAGTGTTATATTTCAATTTCACAAAGAAACGTGCAGCATTTTGTTCAAGCAATAATAAAAGGACACATTTTGTTTAGAATTTGTCTTAAATCTCATTTTGTAAAAAAATAATTGTGAATCGAATCGTGAGTTGAGTGAATCGTTACATCCCTAGTACTTACTGGAATATATATTCTCCATAAAAACAGCTTTCTTTAATATGGGTGAGGCCAATACACCATGCTACTAACTGACAGTATGTTTAATGTTATCTCAATGTAATTAACATGAGTTTAATAACTAAAGTAGTAGGCCTCTTTAAATTGAAAGGACTGTGGGATGTTAATCTCTTAAATGGCTTTGCTGCCTACAGTTCCCACAGGAAGTGTGGCTGGGGAAAGAGCGAGTGAGCGAGAGAGACAGCGACGGGGTTAAAGACCCGTGTTGAAAAAGTAGGAAGTGGCTGTGGGAGCCAGTCTGCTTTTGGAGTCTGGAGTTATTGGGGCCAGAACAGCACACAGAGTCCTCGTGCTACACACACGTGACAGGCCTTTTGACTCTCCCAGCTGCGTCACCTTGGATACTGCAAGTAATGTTGCTGCTGCTTTCCCATCCTCCTGTGCCAGACGAGTAGTTAGGAAAGAAATTGACCTTCACAGATCCAACCTTTGGACATGCCGACTATACAGCTCGTCAACCTGCTGACATACTACAGTCTTCAGGATGAGGTGGTTGTTGAAGTTTACTGGTTTACAGCAATCAGTTACTCCATATCTTTGTATTTAATAGTGAGAGTTGGGAGGAAACGTTATATCACTGCAAAAATGCATTTTCAGTCAAGCATTTAACTTATCTTTTTTCTCAAATTTATTTTCTACAGTAAGACTTTGATCATCTTTGCGTGTCATGCTTCAACTTTGTCTCATGATTGTGGTATTCCCTCAGCGTGCCAGTCTTGTGAAAGGTCAGTTACATCAGTCTTGTTAAAGCGTAGACAAAAGTGTGTGTCGCTCAAGAAGGATCCGATGCATCACTTTCTATAACAATGTATGTAAGAATATGAGAATGGGAAAAATTTCGCTTACAAGAAATGAACTTCGAGTCACTTTTCTCATTAGAAGCATCAGCCTCAGAGCCAAAGGATTTACGGATTGGCAAAGGCCATCCATGTTGTATGAGACCAAAGAGCAGACAAAGCCAAAATATTTTAGAGCTTTAAAATGCCACTATACAGCCAAAATGACTCATGACACAGACTGACTGCATTGTGCAGTTTTAGCTGTAATTCAATAGTTGAGGTCAAAACCTCAGTATTCTTGTTACCTAAGAGGTGAGGATCTGTCAACAAGAAGACCTGGTATAACAAGAAATAAAGAGGTAAAATGTGACCTAGGGCTGCACGATAAATCGCATGCGATATTTAACGCACATCTTATCAGTAAAGCCGGTTCTGTAATCAGCGGTAAATCTCCATCACCTGCGGGCTTTCACATTGAGCAGCATTAACTACACAGAGCCGTTGTTCACTGACGAGCTGTGCAAAA